GTCAACTTAAACAGACCAGAGCAGTAAAACTTCATGACGAAAGTAAGAGAAATTAAGTATGTATTTCATAGTAAAGCATAAGTTAATAGCAGAAAAAAAAACAATATCAGGTATTGATGTTTGTCCCATTCATCCTTCTGTCGACTTATTTTACCCAGTGGATTATAACTGAACATCATCATAAAGAAGGAATATAAAACAGATTGGACTTAGATGAGGCCTGAGTGAATAATAGTGCTACAAGAGTAAGGCTATAATGAATGCTATCTTTACCCTTCCTGTTAAGTCTACCCTGGAGATTGCCTGAAGACAATGGGAAGTTTATTTTACTTCTCTGCCTGAGAATATTCTCTGGCTCTGCAAGTATGCTTCTCTCCAAAGTAAGCAGTCCAGAAATGTCAAGAGAGTTCACATCCTTGGTGTAATTCTCAATCATTGAGTGCTGAGTGAGCAAAGTCTAAGGAATATTTTATACAGTTTATCAGAATTTCTCCAATAAGACTGAAAGTGAATTGCCACCAGTGAAAACCCTTGCCATAACAGTCCTTATTTTCTTTCCTATCTTATATTCTATCATAGTTTCCACTAATTACTTCCCAAGAAAACTAGTTGCAATCTTTGTTACAATATTTGCTTTGGGGGGGAGGGGAGACAGCCTAGCTTTATTATTGTATTTTCTAAATTACCTAGGGTAAAAGCGAAAATTCATTAGTTTAATCGATTTTTTAATTGAAAAAATACATTAATTATACAAAATACTGTGTTAAAAATACACAAGATAAGAGGAGCTTCTCATCCCATGTACTAGCCCCATTCTCCTAGGTTTTCCCTCTTAAAATAAATAGATATCTGATTATAGCACAGAAAATAACATAGCAGTATCTAAAATGATGGAATGAAGAGATGATCTTTCCAGGGAACTAAGTTCTTAGGAAACAGAACAAGGTCATAACAAATTCCTAGATTTCGTATTGCCTCCCATTTTTCCCAGGCACGGGTCTGCATAAACATCTAATCCCAAAGTGCCCACAGACAAACATAGATCCAATAAAAGCCTGTTTTCCTTAACCACAGGACCTAGAAAAGGGTGACCTAAAAACAGAAAACTTTTTTTTAGCAACATCCAACTTTATCCAGCCAAAGAAAAATGGAAGAAACCCTATCTTCTACCTCTGATATTTCAGCTTGGTTGAGCAAGGGCATTATCTTCCACTACTCTCCTTATATGCAAATATAACAAGAAGCAATGATCAGATTTCCTGTAAAGTATTGTCAGCATACCCAAGTTGGCAGCTGGTTTTTCATCCCCTGCTCAGTAGAAACAATGCGTTTTTGCTTTCCTTTTGTGTATGTGTGTTTGTGTATAGCAGCAGACAACATCCTAATTGAGAGATATTCTACAAAATAACTGACCAGCAGTAGTCAGTACATCAAAAACAAGTCTGAGAAATTATCCTAGGCAAAAAGACTTAAGGAGACACAACAATTAATGATCATGTGGTATCTTCAATGGGATCATGGGACAAAAAAAAATTAGGTACAAACTAAGCATATCTGTGTAAAGTAAGAGCTTAGTTAATAACAACATATCAGTATTTGTTCACTAATTGTGACAAAGCACTGTATTACTGCAAGATGCTCATTATAAACTAAATGGAGTGTGTAGTACATTGTATCTGTACCACCTTCTCAATTTTCCTGCAAACATAAAGCTGTTCTAACAAAATCTATTAAACTAGAAAAATGATGGGCGATACCAAACGATGAGGATGCAGAGAATCTAGATTACTTAAAATGGTTGGTGGATTTGTGAAGTTTTAAAGACACCCTATAAATATGCTTACTCTTTTCTTAAAATACAAAAAAAGCAAGTACCACATGTTGCCTGATAGTTGTACTTCCAGTTATTTATTTTAGAGAAATATAAATTATGTTCACACAAAACACATACAAGAGTATTTTTGCAGCTTGACTGTATTAGGCATAAACTACAAGTAACAACCCAGAATGTAATGGATATCAGGATAAACAAACTTCAGCACAGCTATACGATCAACTACTATCCAGCAACAGAAAGAAACACTGGTACATGCACCAATTTAAAATGAGTCATTTACAAAAGGTTAAAAGTTAATAAATCAATTTATATAACACCACTGAATTTAAGAATATAGCAATGGTAAACAGATTTTAGTTGACAGATGTGTGGGATGTGGCGCATGGAGGGAGGTTGGACTATGCAGGATGTGGAACATGGACTATGCTAGAGCAACATAATGATAGTTGGACGTAGTCCTTTATTGCGTCTTTCTGTTTCAGTATCGGATCCCTGCTTGCAGTGCTATGCTACAGTTGTGCAAAATATTGTTAATGAAAAAAGCTGATGAAACTCAACAAAAATAAACAACCCCATCAAAAAAATGAGCAGAAGAGCCAAAAAGACACTTCTCCAAAGAGGAAATGCAGATGACCAACAAGCATATGAAAAAAGGTTCAACATCACTTGTCATAAGGGAGATGCAAATTAAAACCGCAATGAGATACCACCTCACCCCAGTGAGAATGGCACATCTTAAAACAACTAGCAACAAAAAATGTTAGTGAGAATGCGGAGAAAAAGGAACTCTCCTGCACTGCTGGTGGGAATGCAAACTAGTACAACCACTATGGAAAATTGTCTGGAGGTTTCTCACACTGCTAAACATGGAGCTTCCATCTGACCCAGCAATCCCACTCCTAGGTATCTACCCAAAAGGCACAAAAACATTGATTCAAAAAGACACCTGCACCGCCATGATTATTGCTGCTTTATTTACAATTGGAAAGACATGGAAACAGCCCAAAGGCCCAAAAGCAGATGATTGAATTAAAAAGATGTGGTACATATACACAGTGGAATATTACTCAGCAACCCAAAAAAAAATAAACACATGCCTTTTGCAGCAACATGGATGGAGCTGGAAAAGATCATGCTTAGTGAAATAAGCCAGAAAGAAAGGGAAAAATATCAGATGGTTTCACTCATAGCAGGAGTATAAAGGACCAGGAGAGAAAATAATAATAATAATGAACAACTATATACCAGAGACATTTTACAGGGGTGGAGTGAGGAATGGGATCAAAAACAGTGGGGGGAGGGAAATGCACTGGACTATGGTGATGGCCCACAGGTGATTTGGTTATGGGAAGCCCATGGGGATTACAACTGAGTTGGAAAAAGGCACAAAATGATGTAGAAATAAACTATTATATTAAAATAAAAAAAAACAAATTCTTTCACTAGAAATACATAAGATAAGGACACTTCACAATTATTGAACATATTTTTTTTCCAAGAATAGTGCCAAGACTACCAAAAACACATTTTCTTTAAAGAAATCTCCTTACTTGGCTTCACTCCATACCTAAAAAAGGATATCAAATGGTGTTCAAAAATATGAGTTTTTCTAAGTTCCACAGATGACTTTTATGTGCCTTAATTTTTAAGAGCCTTTTTAAAAATACTTGTAAATTGGACCTTCCCTGGTGGCACAATGGGTTAAAGTATAGTACTTCAAAGCCAGCTGCAGCCGCTTCAGCACAAGTTCAATCCCTAGCCAGGGAGATGACCCACATGGCCCAGAAGACTTCTCCTGTCTTGCCCACTGCTGCCCTCAGCAGTGTACTTTGTAGATCTGCCTGTTCTGCTCCCCACTCTGTCTCTGGTGAAGCCTCTCATTGCCCCTGCACCTCTGCCCTACAGCCCAACTCTTGTATGCATACATAAATTAAATCTTCTAAAAAATACTTATAAATTGCTGTAGGCAGCACATCCACTTATAAATTGTGGATATCTGGAACAATTGAGGTTAGTATGGTCCAGATGGACATGGTGGAGGATTGTCGTGACACTGGTGGTGGGCAGGGTGTGGGAGTATAATTTGTATAGGCTGAAATATAGCCCCTGGGACAGATACAGAGATATAAACCTACTTAACCTTAGTAAACATAATTCTGGGAAAAATTGGAATCAACTATAATAGAACATATCAGAGTTCATTGCTGAAAGTAAGTGTAACTATTTTGCATCTTTTTTGTACTTGGGTGTAGACACATAAATGTGTAAGAGGAGACCCCCTGGCTCCTGGTTTTAAGATGCAGAAGAGTCTGCCCAGCTCTACTGCTCCAGAGCAAGATGCCAACCTGGGCCATCTGGTACTAGTAGAGTTTGGGTTTTGAAACTGGTGTGGTTTTGAAAACATTCCAATCGGGTTTTGTCTTGCCTATTCATCTTGCCCAAGTCTGGGAACCAGTGCCAGTGTTGAAAATGGGTCAGGTAGGTTCGAAACCATCATATCCTGAAAGGGTATAAGCTTGAACAGCACAGGTGTTCAGGCACTCGGGACTTCACTTCAGAGACACTCAGACTTCCAAGACTCACTGAAACCTTTGTTTCAGATAGTAATTTCTCCAAGACACTTTACTGTGGCCCTCCCTGGTGGCACAACTGGTTAGGTCGCAGCACTGCAGGCTAGCTGCAGCTGCTTCAGTGTGAGTTCGACCCCTGCCCCGGAGGAGACCACATGGTGTAGCAGATGTCTCGTGACCCGCCTGCTGCTCCCCTCAGCAGTGTACCTCGTTGATCTGCATGTTCTGCTCCCCACTCTGTCTCTGGTGAGTCCTCTCACTGCCCCTGCAGCTCTGGACTGTACCCCAGTTCTGTATGCATAAATAAATAAATCTTTAAAAACAAAACAAAAGCTCTTCACTTCAGATTTTCACAACCTTTGGCTCCTGCCTCCATTTTCTGACTCCTGGCACTGAACTGTCACTAGCTGCTGCCTCACCCTGGGTCCCACGCCCCTCAGCCCGACTGCCTGAGCAGCGCTCGTGCTCCAGCTCTGCTTCCACATCACCTGCTGGAGGTGCCCCTGGGCTCTGGAAGCTGTACACTTCACCACCTCAAGGAGCTGCCCAGTGCTGCTTGATCTCCACAGCACCCCATGCAGACTGGCACTAACCAGAGCTGCTGTGTCCAGCCACCTCTAAGAGCTGTCCACTGCTTGTGATCTTCTGGCATCTGGTCGCTGCTTCTGCCTCCCGCATAAAGGATTCTGCGCCTTTTGCTGCTCTGGTGCTTGTTGCAGCACCTCTGCCACTGGTGCTGCTCGCCTGGCCTTGGGATTGTGCCTCTGGCTGCTACAGCGACACCTTTTCTGCAACACCTGTGATCACCTCTAGCTGACACTGTGAGTTGGGTCCCCGTCCACAACGTATTGGTGTGACACCAGCTCCAAGCTCTCATTGAAAGGGCAAAGTCATCTTGCATGATCAGCTTTTGGTTTGGACGATTGGACACTGTGGACACTATCTGGAGTGGGACAGATGGCAATTTGTGGCCTTAGAATTTCTCTTTTTTCCATATCCTTCCCAATTCCCCCCTGTAAAAAGGACACTTTTTGTTGCACTATGAAGATGGGTTGTGTCTTGCAGTTGTAAGTGCACTGATGAGTACCCATAACAATGACATTCCCCCAGTTTGAACAGAAGATAGGTATCTTCATCTCTATACATAGCTTCTTGTTTTTCTTTTTTAAGCTTTATTTAAGGGCCCTCCCTGGTGGTGCAACAGGTTAGGAAGCAGACTGCAAGTGAGCCACTGCCACTTCAGTGTGAGTTCAATACCCAGTGCGGGGGTGATCCACATGGCACTGCAGACCTCTCCTGACCCGCCCACTGCTCCCCTCAGCAGTATACCTCGTCGATTTGCCTGTTCTGCTCTCACTCTGTCTCTGGTGAAGCCTCTCATGGCCCCTGCACCTCTGGCTTGTACCCCAGCTCTATATGCATAAATAATAAATAAGTCTTAAAAAATAAAGATGTATAGGGCCCTCCCTGGTGGCGCAGCGGGTTAAAGCACTGCACTGAGAAGCTAAAGCCACTTCCGCATGAGTTCGATTCCCGCCTGCCCCGG